CCCCCCCCGCCTTTCTTCGCCTCTCCTCTGCTCCCCCAGTAAATCCGTTCAGATGGGCGAAGCAGCCCCTTCACCTGGAGTAGAAGTCAGCTGACTTTGATGAATGTCATCAATGTCTTAGTCAATTAGGTTAACAAACAGTCATAGATACCCTCGCTGCTTAGCGTGATGTGGCGGCATTGATGTCGAGAGAGGCGAGGCGAGGGGCCGAAGGGATGCTGTCAGTTCAAGAGAAGTTCGAAGGTGATCAGAGTCTTCCTGAAACTAAAAGGGGTTGGTGGAGGGCTGCTCCCCGAGCCTCCCTTGGAAGGGGCGGGGGCTCTCACAAAGGATTTGGTCTTCCAAGTGCTTTGGGAACTTTACCCGAGCCATCGCTCTAGATCAATAACACGAGTCGCAATTTGTTTCAGTGGCGCAGATCCGGTCCGTGGTGGAGCCCGTCACCAAGGAGGCCCTGAACCAACTCACGCCGGAGGTCGTGCGGCAGGTGTCCGACATGCCACGGGACGACATAAGTAAGAACGATTTGGCCTGCGAATCTCGTGTCGTCTTCCCTTCCGGCAATAAAAGTCGATCAATAACCCAAACTTGCGTCCTCCAACAGTGAAGTACGTGATGGGCGTCCTTGAGCCAGCCACCAAGACGGTGGTCTCGGGCGTCTCGGGGATCGTGGAGCCGGCCGCGGCGTCGCTGCGCCGCCTGCTCGAGGGCACGCGCACCCGCATCAAGGGCGGCGTGCGCGTGGTGCTCAAGCCCGCCGCGGACGGGCTCGGCGCCATCGCCGCCCCCGCCCTCGACGAGATCATCTACCTGGCGGTGGACACGGTTCGGATGCTGTGGAAGAAGTCGTTCGAGCCCCTCCACGTCGAGCACATGGAGCTGCACTTCAGAGACCCGCTAATCACGTGAGTAGGGCGATCCCCATAACGTGCAGGTGTGGGTAGCGACGACGGCGGGTCAGAATGTTTGTTTTAACGCGTACTGAATGACGTCCTCTTGCAGCGCTGACCTACAGCTGAACGACGTCCAGGTGAACAACGCGTCCACATTTGTGCTTGATTCCATCAAGTCGGAACCGCAGAACATGGCGGCCAACTTTACGGCGCACGTCGAGGCGTTCAACGTCACGGGCTTCTACGACGTAAACGGCGCCGTGGTCAACGGCGAGCACAAGGTGTTCGGCGGCGGCAACTTCACGTGAGTTTGAGCTGAGAGCTGTGGGTGGGCTACTGCCCGTCGTCTCGGCTGTGGCTCTCATGGCCCCTTGCGAGTCGGCAATTCGCCCGCACTCCTAAACAATAAAGTCCAACAAAGTCGTTCGGACGCGTGCGAATTGCTTGCTTGTCTGGTCTGGCCTATCCTCTCTGGCAAATTACACCAGATCACCTTGCTATAAGTTCCGTTTGTCGTTTTTTGTTTCCACCCACAGAGCCGTGATTCGAGGGTTAAATATCGGAGGTCGGGTAGAGATCGGCATTAAAGACCTGTTTCTGCACGTGAACGACCTCAAGTTGGATATTAGTATTGAGAAACTCCAGGTAAGAGGAAGGATGAACGATGTTGAAACGCGCTGACTGAATAGCTCTGGGCACGCTCCGAGGCAGACTGCTGCGAACCTACATCATCAGCCTCACTGTTCCGTCCACAGGTGAAATTGGAGGGCCTATTGGGCGACGCCGCCGTGGCCGACCTGGCCAGCGGGGTCATCAGCGACGTCGGACCCGAGTTCCTCGAGGAGTTCCGGCCCGAGGTGGGCGCCATGATCTCGGGTCAGATCAAGGACTTCGCCAACGACATCCTAGGCACTTTCACCGTGCCTAGCATTTTGGAGCGAATCCGACAGCACAGCGAGGAGACGGCCTCCAAACGGCTGTCGCTGCGCAACCGGGTCCACCTCTACCACCACCAGGAGCTGGAGGCGGAGGCGGAGCGCATACGGCTCAGCCAGCGCGCACAGGACCACGCCGACAAGAGGCCAGAGCCCTAACGTGTGCGTCCTCGCGACGCAAGCTCCTCCTCCTAAAGTCCCGAGTCCTCCCGGACTTCCCCCAAGCTCCGCACTGCACTATGCCGGCCCGAGAGGTGCACTGTTATCCAATCTCCTCGAGCAGAGCAGTGAATTGGATTGCAAGCTGAGCAGCAGCAAGTCTTTTTAAATGAGAGAGAGAGAGCGCGAATAGTTGGTGGCCGTGCGGTGGGTGCCTAGCCTACCACCATGCTCAATGGGCGTTTTTCAGACACAGCCCCACACTCTTTCCTCTCATAATAGCTCTATGATACACATTGAGCATCCCAGTGAGAAACGTCTATAGCTGTAAGATTGATGGGTCTATTCCCCCACAGTGAACACTAAAGAAGTGAGTAATTTCAGCATTATTTTTAAAAAATTGAAGCATTAAGAACATTAAGATTTACTTTAAAAAGTAAATCGATGCTAATGCAACAAACAGAACGTTCGTTGGTAAAGTGCCAAAATAATTCCACTCTGTAATTATAGAGTCTTGATGTCCTCATTCCAATTTATAGTCATGTGTCCAATTCCCAAGTGGGAGTTCTTAATTCACAAAAAGTGTGAGATGCCACAACTACTATTTGTATAGCTATAGTATACGCAAGAATTTTGCTCAAGTACCTGCAGTATATCTATGTCGTTATTCAGAAATAAGGATGTTTAGAGAGAGTTATGTTATGATGCATTCAAAAACTGTGATAAATTTTAACTCGTAATTTTAATACTTAACTGAATTGACTCTAGAGTGTGATATTTTATAAGATTGTTAGTTGTTTTGGTGAGATTTAGGTAAATTTGCCTACAGTGAGCCACTGTAGATCTTGTACAGTTTTTTAAAGCAACAACAAATATTTCAGTAACAGACAAAAATTAACAAGATTTAATGCAATTCTGTAGTCTACAGAGGTAAAAAATTAATTTTGATGCTTGCACAATGCATTAAAAAAAAAAATTAAGACACTGATAAATCTTAATATTGATTACAAGAGACCTATGAATACCACAATATTTCTTAATGATAAAACTAATAGTTGCAAACCAGAAAGAAAATTCTAATACAAAATTGTTACATGGTTACATGTTTTTTTTCTTCATTGAACCTATAACATAGCCAATCGAAAAACTGCTTGAAACTTGCACCTTACATAATGTTTACCATCATTCTTTCTTTTTAAAAGAGTGCCATCTAATTAGTATGTCATAAACACTTTAAAATACAGAAATCTTCTTATTGCCTTTCCGTAAGTTTTGTTCTGCATTTATTCTCATTTCCGATTCCTGAAGATGTTTTATTTCTTTCTCTTTGCCAGCTACTTTACCAGCTATTGCAGAATAGGCAGGAGTTCCCTTTGTCTGACGGCCTAAAGATTCTTTTAGATGAATGAGATCTTTTTCAGCTCGTCTTATATCTTCACCCACTTGTAAATTAGCAAGATTCAAGCTTTTCCGAGTTTCATTCTTCAAAGCCTTCCCTTCTTCTTTTCCTTTGCTAGTGGATGGTTGGTTGGTATCTCCTGGAACACAATTTTGACATAATTTTGGAACAATAATGGATAGGTATATGAAGTTGTAAGCACTATTTTCATACTGATGCACTACGAACCTAATTTGCTATTAATAAAATCAAAGACATTAACTCGTTTCTTCTCTCTTTCATATTTTGCTTTCTGCTGTTCCAACTGTTTTTTCTTTAATTTTCTAAGTTTTTTATCAGTCTTTAACAAACTATCACCCCCTGCCTGTTCCTTCAATTTCATACAATGGTCTGAAATGCAGTAAAAAGCAGAATGAGGACACACCAAGAAGGCCAAACCTAACTTAATTTAGTACTTAAAAAAAGGACATACCAAGAGACTTCCCAGGGGGAAAAACGACAGCCTCAACTGGCTCCACTCGCCCTTCTCCTGATGGCCCCAGGCCTGTGCCTGTCACATATCCCATTTTTTGCATCAATCGAGAACCAATGCCCTGTAAAACACAAACTAAGATATAGCAAATAAACATTGTTGAAAGACCTAAAAGTTACATAAAAATTGTATGACCTTTGTGTGCTGCTCCCAAGCACCAAGAGCTGTTGATGGGGAGTTCATTAAACTCAACTGAACCATGGCTGATTGTTCAGTTGAATCATCATGATCTCCATAGTCATCATCACTATCATCACTATCACCTGATAGTGATTCAGATCCACTCTTACAATCTGTGTGGAGAGGATGAGTAATATAGAAGTTATACAGCAACATAAGTCCAAAAATAATAATATACTTTACAAACAATTTCTACTTACCTTCAGTACCCTCAAGGGGTAACATATCCTTTAGTCCAACCTGGAGTTTACTTCCACCTGATGTCTCTAATTTAACTTCCCAAATAGAGTCTTTAATCTCATATAGCACAATGGCTCGATGCCAAAGTTTATCTTTTCCGTTTATGTGAACTAACACCCTAGAGCCGCCTTTTATTGAACCAAAATTGGGTTCCCTAAAATTAAATTTAAAAAATAGAAAAATAGATCAAATAAATTGATTGAAGTAAATTGAGTAGCATAGAGCAAAAGAGTACTGACTTGTATTCTTTTAGGTTTGAGAGTTGAGCAAGTTCACCATGGGAAAACCGACATTTGCTGTCATCAAATCTACACTCTCCTTCAAGGTAATATGTACATGGTAACATTTTGGTTTCAATAGGATTTGTGAACATTACTCTGACCTAATCGACAACAAAAATTATGAAGAAAAATATAAACTTGTGTCCAAAAAATGTGAATGTTTCCGCTTACAAACCTGGATTTGATCCATCCCTGTAATGTTATTGGCTGGTTCAACATGAAAAACTAGAGCATTGTGATATGAGGTTCCCCAACCATGACAGAAAGGAGCTTGACATTTCATACCCTGAAGTGCCTCTAGCTCGGCCTGAGTTGATTGAAAGGAGCAAAAATTATTTTCATGACAATATCATACTCATGTAACAATGAATTTTTTAAATAATATAATGGTATAGATTTTTAAAATGAGAATCAAATACATACAGCAATATCAGGAATATCCGCTGGGTTGGAACAGTTGGAATTAGCTTCTTCCTTGTTTGAGGGATCGGCTGCATCTTCCACTTCTGCCTTGAACAAAGCATATTCCTTTGCAAAGGGGTCATCATCAGGTTCCTGCTTGGGCGAGCCACGGTCTGAATTTTGTGGAGGTTCCTGAAGCTCTGCTAGATTTTCTCTCGTTAAAGTTATTAGCTGTTCAATATCGTCCCTTAGAGATGACAGTGTCTGCTTCTCTGTGTCATTTGTGGTAGCTCTAATAGTTGCATTCACCTGTTGAAGCTGAATTAACGATTTGTGATTAACTTAAACGTGTTCTGAAAATTTCTTCACTGATGTGTCACATTCATCAAACAGAATAGTTGCCAAAAATTGATTTTTAAAAACTGAAATTTAGGTTATGTTTCCGTGTCATAGCATACCTGAATTTCATATTCACGAAGAGATTCCGTAAGTGTCTGTACCTCAGACGACATCTTGTCCTCAAACAACACTGTTCGGCATTCTTATATGTCATGTATCATTCGAAATTCGATTAATTGGAAACATAAACACACCGCCGGTCGAACATAGTCCAACAGAACTCGGACACCACACGCAGGGGGGG